CGTACTCCTTACAAATTACAGTTTAACAATGTATGGTTAGTGTTGACTTGGAAGGTGTTTAGCAATGTTCATTTTTCTTCTTTAATTTCAAATAATTCTGTAATGCCATTTTATTGCAAACCATTCACTCAAAAGCTATTATGAAAGTAACTAATCAAATTACTAAAAATTACTTAGATGGAAATCATTTGCTGAAAACTTGGTCCCCCCCAGTTCAAAAATCCTATCTGCGCCCCTGGATTTAAGTATGAAAAAATAAAGATTATATGAAGAATAAAAGAAATAAAACTACAAATGGCTCATTACTGCCTGCGATTCGGCTCCTACCGTTTGTTGTAAAGAGCCGTTCAAAAGATTCGGATCGTTCTCGAACATCACATCTCCTGCCCACCACTGCTACCAAGCTTCTGTATAAGATGGATTTACTAAAAGGGTCTCTAAACTTCTCATCTGACTTTTGGCAACTTAAAAGAATAAATACAATCCAAAAACTACAAAAAAAATCAATGTATGATTAAAATTATGTCATTGACACTGCTAAAAATGGGAAAATATTCAGTGTTTAAGTCATAATTTTAGAACTTTTACCTAAATTATATATTTTTTATTGAATAATACTTTGATGGTATATTTGAACTTGAGCAAGAAAAGTTGTTTTTTTTTACTTAATCAGTTTAATGTCTTCCTTTATTGTTGGAAACATTTTGTTTTCTGTCATCAGATTTCTTGATTTATTTTCAGCCACACAAGGGGAAAAATAAAAATGAGTCGAGGCTACTCCTGTTAGTTTTCACAAGAAAAACTAAAGCAGCAGTGACTTTTTTTGACTTTTTTAAATGTGGTGCTTTACCCTGATTATTAACCAGAAACTTAATGTCAGTTACCAATATTTTAATGAAATTAATTAACCATCTGATGACATGAAAAGACAGTTTTCATGTCATGTCTGGTCATTCTGTTTATCTGCATTGGCTTTAAATTATATGGTTTGTGTGTGGTGGTGAAATGTAACCAAGGTATTATTTATTTATTGTACAAAATGAAAGTCTACATTAAAACTCGTGTTTTTGGTCTCAGATTCTTGATAAATATAAAATATTTCAAAGTGTTTGGAAACATCTGGGTTAAACTTTTCATCCAGACATTCATCTTCTGCACAGAAACATCAGGTTGTAAGTACTGTAGGTTCCTTCATGAAAAGAATTAACTGTGAACTCACGATTTATATTCTTATTACAAGTGAATTGATTTTTAGAAAACTCTCTTCTTTGCTGCCCAAGTTTCTGTTTTTTTGATACAAAAACATCTAGGTTGATAATTGAATTATACAAAAGGGATAATCATCTAGTGTGTAAACAGTCAAAACATTTCTCAGGATTTTTTGGAATTCCTGTTGGACATTATCCATTTGTGTAACATCACTTAAAATCAACTGGGTGTAAAAACCCAAATTATTTTTAATGGCACTTGAGAAACATTACATTTAAACAGTCATCAGATGTGTTTATCGGTAAGTCAGGCTCTTTGTGTCAGTAAATGTAAAACAAAAAGGTATATCACAATTACACATTCTTTAAAAAAATTAATCCACACTCTAAAATCAGCCTACTTTAAAACATTCAGCATTGTAAACAGTCAAACATTTCTCAGGATTTTTTGTAACTAAAACATTCCCTTAATTATCTTCATTATTAGTGATTTAGTTTAAAATTTCAAGTTTAAGTAAATATTTTAAAGTTGCAAGCAACGATTTTAATCCTTGTTGGCATTTCTGTTTCTGCTTTCCTTCATTAAACTTCTTGGGAAGCAAATAGAGATTTAAACAACAAAAAATTTTTTTGCACATTTTCGTTTACAGGCACAGAGATTTGGCTAAAAGACAATAAATACACCAATCATTAGATATTTGTCTAATGATTTGTATATTGGAATGAATGTCTGTTTGCCTGTCCATGAGTGTGTAGGACAGGGGTCTGCAACCTTTACAATCAAAAGAGCCATTTGTGCTCCTTTTCTCACTAATAAAATGTGTCCAGAGCCGTAAAACAAGCAACAACTGTAATTGTCAACTGGTGGTCCGTTGGCCTTTTCGCGGCCTTTTCAGGAATTTTTACGGTCAGTGGAGGTGACATTATAAAACTTAAAAATTATTATTATTATATTAAGTATTATTATACACATCAGGACAATTATAAAGGCCATATTCATGTAAACGAGAAAAATAATGTACAGC